TACTTGGACTTAGCGTGCATTGTTTAAGTGTTCCCTTTATTTTTTGAGCAGTGTATCTTTAATCAGGAGAGTATGCAACTAAAACATAAATATAAAAAAAACATTTGATGCATTGCACCAGATTTAGCCTAAGGGTAATTTACATCTGATGTTACAGTGATTTGCAAAAGTATTCATACCCCTTGAACTTTTCCATATTTTGTCACATTGCAACCACAAACAAATATAATTCATTGGAATTTGATGTTAAAAACCAAAACAAAGTGGTTTACAGCAAACCTAAACACCACAGAAGACTCTTCACAAGAAGAACTGAAAAGTCTGCAGGAAGTAGTGACTTTTTTTTTTACAAAACAAAGACATTCACATTCAACATGAGGACAATTCCATCTGTCACACCTTACCTGCTAAATCACAAAAAATCATACCATCCATCATTGTCAGGTTCATTAGCAGGAAAGCAAGAAATAATGCACACAAAAAACTGAAGCGAATAAATATATTAATGATAAAATATATTAATGAACATCTAACAAAAAATGGAAACATTGCAGGTTAGGCAAGGTTATTGAAAAAACAAAACAAAAAAAGATGATAGCTATTTGGACAAGAAATGGAAACATCTGGGTCAGAACAAAGGAAGYGTCTCAGGCTAAAATAATAAGAGTTAAAGGATTTAGAAGGACTTAAATAACTTCACGAAAGATAAATAAGAAAAACGTAAGTGACTAAATAAAAAGWGACTGAAACTTGACACAAAAGTAGTAAAGCAAACAGACAAATGGAGTTTAGATGAAAGTTCAACTCTGYAAGAKTAATCTACCTCATCTGCTCCATCCAGTCGCCGCATCACYAGCCCATCCWCATCCAATCAGCATCTGACAGTCAGTGGAGAAAAGCGTCCTCTCCAGTCGCTCCGTCTGCTTGCCAGCTAAACGCAGAMGTGTCAAATGTATCCACATTCATTACTTAAGTAGAAGTATAGATACTAGGGTTTAAAAATCCTTTTTTGGAAGTAAAAGTATCAACTTAAGCTTTTTACTCAAGTAAAAGTATAAAAGTACTGGTTTTAAAACTACTTKAAGRATAAAAGTAAAACTAATGTACACTTWAAAAAGGGTTTTATTGTGCTGTGATTTCCAGCCAGGGGTAKGTGTACCCCTAAGTGTACGCGGAAAAATTTCCCAGGTGTGTAAAAAATAAATATCGTAGGGCCCTATGATTTCCACAATGCAGAAAATATAGACAGAATCACGGAATTAACAGAAAATGAAATCCAGTATAAAACCCAGCATCTCACGGAATTTGTTCATTTGGGCGAGTTTCTGATGTATTTTGGACGCTGCTGCTTTTTTCACCTGCCATTACCTGGTTTATTTATTTAATTACTTATTCACTTTCAAAGTAACGTTTTAATCTTTGTTTAATTTGAGTTGAAAAGTATAAAATGTCGGAGATTTAAATGTTCTAAGGGGTTAAATAAATAATTTTCATTTAATAATCACTTGTAGTACATTATAGTTTTGGATAATCATCATTACATGTTTCTGAGGGGGTACTAGTAGTATGACAAAAAGGCTCAGGAGGTATACAAGTGTAAAAAAATTGGGAAACACTGCTATAGTGCCCCCCCCCCCCCTTGTGATTTGTGTCATACAGGTGTGATGGAGTGAGTTCAATTCAATGGGATGTCAGAATGGTTTATATTTACACTTCTCATCAATCAAACTCACTCTATCCATGGGCTCCATTTTTCTGGATACATTTCTATTGATATATTTCTGAACAATGAAAAGATGGAATAAAATCAAGTCAAAGTTAAATAGAAATAAAATACTTTCTGCATTTTTAAAAAGTATTTTTATTTTTATTTTTTTTGTACAAAAATGTAGTGTCATCTGCAAATAAAACACATTTAAACAACKCTGACATGTTCACCCATTGGCGGCTGGTCACAAGAGGGTTCTAGGGCCCCACCACATTTTTTTGGGACAGAAAAAATATAAAAAAGAAATAAAGTAAAATATTTAGTAGAAATATCTATATATATGGGCTATTCAACTGGCGGCCCGCGGGCCG